AAAGAAAACACCTGTTTGGTGGTAAATTGGACAGAATAATGGTTTACTGGGGCTCAGTGCAATCATGACCATCAGGAGCAACCACATCCCTCGACTGGTTACTGTATGTACTCATGATGAAGAAGGTTTTTAAAGTCTTCCTTATTTTTCCCAAGAAAACGGTCGCGTCATGCCTTAAAATAGACGTAACTCACAATAAAGTGCAGCTCGATAAAGTCTCTGCTTCTCTCTCCACCCTCCCTTCTGCTACTTGATGCATTTCAAGCACACCAGCTCACCTGTGATGACTCTGCTCCGCGTGACGAGTTGGAATATTGAAGAAACTGAGTCATACATGTTTGGACCAGTTCTGAAGAAGAGTCATGGTACAGGAAGCGCCACCATGCAAGCTGACCGGATTGCTTCCTCAGGTTGGAAGGCTGTGTCCTTGTTTCTGCAGTTTCACCGTGAATAAGCTCATGCATGGTCCTGACTACTTATTTCGCCTGTGATCTCTCTTCCAGCATATTAAAAAAAACAAAAAACAAATGGATGAATTAACAAAATAAAAAATCTACTTTATTTTCTTTTTTTCACATTTTCAAATAAGAGCAACAACAGGAGTGATGTGACTTGATTGTCATCTGACACTTTAACCTGAAACTTGATCGCTTTTAACCCAAACAATGAACTTTCCCTTAAAGTTTTCTACTTCAGAATCAATCACAGCAACGTCACATCACAAAACATTTCTATTTGCAATGATTTTATTGTCAGCTTGTTGGTCTTTTTTTTTTTTTAGCCTGATCAAATCAATGCCTTTTAAAGTTTTAGTCCTGTTAGTAGTTCCTTGTTGTCTTCTCTGCCTTCATGGACACTGTCAGCTCGCTAAACCAGGACAGAGAAATAATTATAAAAACACATATTTTGAAAGTTCAGAACTGTGGAAAATGGCTTCATGACTTAATCAAGCTGCCTACAATGAAGACTGTGGCTTTAGTCCTCCATCATCACTCACACTGGATGAAAATATGTCTTGACTCACTTTGGACATAAGGAGCAACACCAAAAGCAGATCTACAAACATACACCAGCTGTTAACCTGTCCTCCACTCCACAGTGAGTGTTATCTTTGAAGAATATACAGCATTTTTCTGCATCCTTCCCCACCATCCTTTCCCCTTGAATGGCTTCAATGTTTTATCAATTGACAAACGAATGACGAAATCTGCGTCAGACAATCACTTCCTCAGGTAGGAGTGGATAACCTTGACAAATCCGCGCACAGTTTTGACCCCCTTTTTTTTTTTTTTTCCCCCTCTGCCAGCATCCTTCTTCTTCCGCTCAGGGATGCTGTGTGACGCGTGTAAAACAACAAGAGAAACGAGTGGCAGGTGATCATTTGTCATTGTGCTTAATGAGCATCACTTTGTGCGTCACGGTGCGCCCCGGACTCTCCACCCTGCATGTCAATTGTAGGCAGCGCAGCATGTGATGCTCCGTCCTCCTCCACTGTCCTGCGAGCGCTCAGCCAGTAACACAGCGAGACACAAGAAGTGCTGCACGGTGCGGCTACCGTCCATGCCTCTCTCCACAGATTCTCTGAAATTCAACCCTGGATGTCGCTGATCGCTGCAAAGGACTCCCGGTGAGAGACATTACTGTTCATGTTTCCATCATCCCTCCACTCCACAGCATCTCTCACTCTCTGTCGCCCTGGATTTGAAGGATGCAGGCGGTTTATTTCCTGCAGAAGTTCGAATAGTTTGATTTGCTCCTCGTCATCGTCCTGAATGCATTTTAAACTCTGGCTATGAATCGCGAGAAGTTGTCTAGAATTGTGCGTCGCGGGTCAGACGCGCTCCAGTTTACGCAGAGGTCAGGAAATAATCGTGTGTGACCTTGATTGTGTTTTAAAAGTCGACGCATCAGTCATGAGGAGCGTCCAGAGATCAGTGTCAGCAGCAGATGTGTCACCTGCTGGTTCCACCGACTCCTCTGTGTTGTGGTTGTTGATGATGGAGGAGCTTCACTTCCATGTCAGATTTTTTCTGGGGGGGAAACTACTTTGCATATTGACCTTTGCGCTGATGCTCCAAGTCTAGAGACCTAATGAGCTGTCGGTAAATGTCAGATTAGTTGACTGCTTCAGACTTGTGATTTCCTTTGCCAGACAGCTGATTAACCACTAACTGGCTGCAGACTTGTAGAACACGCTGGTAGTCACAGGATCACTAATTGATCAATGGACAAGTCTGGACGTGTAAACAGGACTGATTGCTGGAGCTGATACATGCAAAGATCTGCTGTTTATCTTCAGTTTGCACGCTGCTGTGTAGCTTTAAGGCCAGAAAAATGCAAGTTTATCACTGATACTAAAAACTCTGGGTGCATCTACAGCTCAGATCAGTTAGCTTGTTGTATGTGGATACAACCCTGAATAATACAATGTTTAAGATTTTTTTGATGCCTCTGATCACTTTGAATGTTACTAGAAATTGTTAATAAAGAGATAAGCTGAGAGTTAAAAGTGCAAACAGGGAGTGTTGTGCAGAAATGTTCTTGCACAACAACAGTTAAGTGTTCAGTTACAGCCGACATTCAGACTCTTAGCGTTGTTCAAGGCGCTTCAGATACGTTTGAACTACGACGTGTTGATTACCGCTGTGTTTCTGGGTGACTCTGCAAATATTATGATCATTTTTTCAGTCATGTTTCAAGCAAACACACTGAATATGAACAGCTTCAGCCTATCAGTCTTTGGTTTGCTGCTTTTTTTCCTTTAACAAACTGGATTTCTTTGGGTTTTAGACTGTCGGTTGAACAAAACCAGAAATTTCAAGTTGGCTGCAGGTGTTTTCAATTTTGTACATTATCAGATGAGCGGAGAAAATAATCATCCGAATGACTGATTATGAAAGAATGAATGAATGAATGAAAACGGATGCGCTCATCGTGGAACACCCACACTTTGTGTACAACAACACTGACTCACAGCAGCTCCATACCTCCATGCCAGACTGCTTTTCTGCAGATGACAGTGTGTTTTTTTTCCCGAAATGCATAATTTTTGTTCTAATGCAGGATAATACTTGTTACTCCTCCATCTGCTGTCACCAGGACATTTGCTCAGAATAAGTCATCCATGTGGTTTTAGTTGAAGGGATGCACAGTTGGCTTTACTGAGGATATCTGACAGCTGTCCTTTGTTGGGATGATGCATTTTCACTGTATTGTCCAGGGAAAAAGGATAAATACACAAAGTTCTGGCAGATATTTACACAGTTGTAGGTTTGTAAGTGTGTCTGAGGATGTAGATCTTCCAAGGACAAAGCATCGAATGACCTGAGAGAAGGATAGCAGGGCAGGTTTTACCCCAAGGCTGTTTCCGGCCATGGAAAACCTGCCTTTACTGTATGTGATCCTGCTCCACACACACAGACAGACGGACTCTCTGAGCGTTAGCTGGGGTCATCTCAACTGTCTGTTGATTTTTTTTCCAGCAGGATTATTGGTTGGGTGAGTTGATGTGTTTTATTTTTTTCTGTGTTGGCTTCATGATGCAGGCACTGATTGATATTACGTGTCTTGTATACTGTAGGCTGGGATTGAATGACAAGACAGAAAAGCAGCGGCGGGGGTTTTTACAGTTAATGCACACGGGATTATGAAGACTTGTGAATGGCTGTGGATGGATTATTGCATCATGGGCTCATCTTGACATGCACAGAGGAGGAAATCTGTTGGGGGATAAACATTTATAGGGAAAAAAAAAAAGGAACGCAAAAGCACATCTTGAGGTCGTAGCTGTCTTATCACCAGCAGGAGCTCTGAGAGGCACATGTAAGGTGTTTGTGGAGAATCTGCTGATCCTGAGAAGGTTTGTTTCAGGCTGATGTAAGCACGGCGTGGTGTGACGGCGAAGTCTCGTGCTCATCGCTGCTGTTACATCACATGAAAGGTGCAGCAGCAGCTTCGTTTCTTTTAACTGGTCGTTTTAGCCAGAATCAGCCACAAAAATCACAAAGAACTGTGAGATAGCCTTTACTTTTCATCCCCCCGGTTGTTTTTTTCTCCATTTAAATATCCAACAAGCTTTGCAGTGTTGCGTTTCAGTTTTTTTTTTATAGTGGAGAAACGGCTCACTCAATAAGTAATGAGCCTGCACTGGGGCTTGTGATGTGGATCAGGACAACACATGACGGCACTTCATCCAAAGCATCATGTTCACTTCCTCCATTACGTTTGGGTTGAACCAACCACTGGCTGACAGAGGGGTGGGGATGGATGTTGCTGCGGAGCTTCAGAGGATTAGGGGATTTGCAGGGAAAAAGCTTCACTAAAGTTAAGCTTTGCAGAACAGGGAAATTAAATAGAACAATTTGCAGGATTGGGAATTTTTTGAAACCAGAAACATTGCAGGAGAGACAAAGAGTCGCAGTGAGGGTTTGGGGTTTTTTTTACTCTGTTCAAATCCCTGCTGAGTTTTTGTTGAAAGATCTGGGTTAAGTTAACACACAGGTGTAACAAATGGTCTCCTGTCTTTGTGGTGGCGTACTTCATGACTCTGGAGAAACAAAACCATGTGTTTCAATCCTGTGTCTTGTTATGAGCTTAACCAAGCACTAAACGGAGGAATAATTGTGTCAGCAACTGTGTGAGGTGTTATTTAAAGATCACAGCCAGGAGAAGGAAGCACAGAGCTGCTGTACATCAAATGACACCAAGTAAACCCGACTTTTAACAGGATGTTTGCTCATTATTAGAATATTATTGCATCTTAAATGTGATCATGTCCTTGAAATTTCACTCTGGCCCTTCTGTTTTTTTCTGATGCAGGACTGAGGCCAAAGAACTGGAATCCAGCTGTCACTCTTCAGCATCACCCTCATAGCTGCTCGTCTCTTCTCCACTCTTTGCTTCTGTCACTTCCTTCTATTCGCACCAGCTTCTCTCTCTCTCTCTCTCTTTCTTTCTCTCTCCACCCCCGCCCTCCCCCATCCCGACCCTCAGCCTCCCCGATGCCTAAGAACAGCAAGGTGACGCAGCGCGAGCAGAGCAATGAGCACGTCACAGAGTCGGTGGCCGACCTGCTCGCACACGAGGAGCCGCTCGACTACAAGAACAGCTCCCTGAACGTCGGAGGGGCCGCGGGGAAGAAAGTCCCGCAGATAGAGGTGCCCGAAAACGATGGACGGCCCGCCTGGAACAGCAAACTGCAGTACATCCTGGCCCAGGTGGGCTTCTCTGTGGGGCTGGGGAACGTGTGGCGCTTCCCTTACCTGTGCCAAAAGAATGGAGGAGGTGAGTTGGAGACGCTGTTCACTACAGTCTGGACCGTCACATTTAAAATTACAATGAATAGATTCAGTGCAGAGCTCTTTTACTTTCTCAGATATTAAAAAATAAAAAATCAATAACATAGTTTAAGGTTCCTCCTCATGGTGTTGGAAAATGGCAGCAAGCAGTGGATTTATTTGTCCCCAAGCAAAGGTCACTGGGAATCTCCAGGGTTTATGTCAGAGATGATGCTGTAATCATATAAAATTATCCTTATAGCTTGACATAACTAACTTTAACCCTCGTATTACCTTCAGATTTACTGACATCCTTGGGTTCAATTTGACCCCAGCAACTTGAACCTCCAGAAACTATCAGAATTAAAATTTTTACCCGTGTTTATGTGTAAATAGTCTTTTAAATAACACTGAAGTGACTTATTTAGAGATGTCAAACATTGAATGGGGTTAAATTGACCTCAATGATAACAGGAGGGTTAAGTATGTTTTCTATAAGCAGACTATACTTCAGCACATTTACAGGAACTTGTCCTGTTTTTGCAGATTTCCACTGATTTAACTTCTCCTCCAGGGTGTCAGTACACCACGACAGTATTGTTGAGTGTAGTTAGAGTGTAAATGTGGGGGTTTTTTTTCTCTGCCATCTATGAATATTAGAAAATATACTCTGGCATCCAGATAACTCACCTGGCTGAGCAGGCGGTCCATGAATTAGGGCTCCAGTGCAGGAGCCATAACATGATTTATTGCATGTCACTCCCCTTCCTTCTGTTCACCCACCTTCCCTGTCACCTCTCAATTGCTCTTTAATAAAGGCAAACATGGCCAGAAAATAATAAGAATAAAAAGCCTGTTTCTCCACACAGCCCTCCACTGTTTGCTGCAGTTCAAGCACACCAGCTCCGCTACAGCTCTTCCCAGATACTGTAAAACTACTCCATTCTACACAATGGCAAGTCCTGATATCAGGGTAAAGCAGCCAAACGTGTTAGAACCGGAAACTGATTCTGAAGAGGAGTAATGATTCAGAAAATCCAACGTTTGTTCCTCCGGTTTGTTATTCATCAAATCCTGTCTGAATCCTTGTTTTTAGGAGTGTCATCAGCATGTTGCTCAACAGTGGTGCTGACTGCTTGTTTAGCTGTGATGTGTCTTATAGCTGGTAAAGCAGCAGCATGTGGGAATGTTAATAGTCTAAAAAACAATAAAAAATGAGAGTAATTTAACTAATAACACTTTTCCAACACGTCCTCTTGGATAGTCATGGAAACATCAGCTCCAACAACATTACTTTACCTAGTAAATGTAATTTTCACTTTTCTTTAGTTTTCCTAATTTTGCTTAACGAAGCTTTATGAAACCCAAAAGTAAACACAGTGTTACGCCCAGTC